ACTGCATTATCTTTCCTCTCTACCTCATGTCTTTCTGGCAGTTGATTGTGTAAGGTTTTGAGTAAAATGGCATGCTTGTTTGACCAAGCCAAAAGAGTTTTGCTAAGAAAACCACCCTCCTCCTCCCACAGTAAAGTAACAGATCTTTCTAGTGTACCTCATTTGCTTCAGGCGTGATAACCTTTCCCTCTGAAATCTGGTCTCTTTTTCAAGGTAGTGACGATCTATTGTAAAGCTTGCTTGATTAGACTGACAGCGTTCATATTTCATTATTTTCAGGACTTCATTCAACAACTGAATAACTGTTAAAAGGTTCAATTTTCCAGCCTCATAAACATTTCCTATGTGCAACTAAAGATCAGAGGGGAAAAAGAGAGAACTATAGAATCTTAAGATAATTAACTGTTACACAAAAAAAGATTTATGCATTTTACTATGGTATACAAATTACACCTTAAAGAAAAGTCAAAAACAAAAAATTAGCCACCCAAACATAAAACTAAGTAATTTTGGGTCAGCCAAGTACCTCAGCATATTAAAGCACCTGCAAGCAGGTGCAGGAGTCAAGGGTTCAATCCCTGGGCCTGCTGTGCTGGCCCCGCCCCCCGGGCGCCCCAAAACAGCAACTGAGACTGGACATGGTGGCGAGCACCTGTAATCCTAGCTCTTGGGAGACTGTAAACAGGAGGATCACTACAAGTCTGATCCAGTAATGAGACCCCAAACACCCTATAGACCATTCCCTAAAAATATAAATAAATAAATTTAATCTAGTGAAAACTACTGGGCTGGGGAGATAGCTCAGTGGATTAAGTACTTGCCTGGCAAGCACAAGGTTCTGAGTCTGATCCCTGGTACCACCAAAAAAAAAAAAAAAAAAGAAGAAGAAAACTACTATGGAATAATTAACACATCACGGTACATTTTTATACCATGCAAAGGTTGAAGACTAGAATAAAAGAAAAACAATACATACTATGTAAAAATAACTAAATGATGTTATACCAGTTTCTTGAATATTAAACATAAAAGATGAGAAGTACATTAGGAGAAACAGGTTTGGTGAAAAAGATCATAAATTCTTTTTTTAAAATGTTACATTATCAGGCCAGGGACACAACTCAGTGGTATAAGCACCTGACTGGCATTCCCAAGGTCCCAAGTTCAATCCCTGGTGCCACAAAAAAGAAAAAGAGGGCTGGTGAGATGGCTCAGTGGTCTAAAGCACCTACTTAGAACAAGCTTAGCGAAAGCACAGGGACCACGGTTCAA